GCTGACGACAGCCTGTCGCCAGCCTGGCGTTAGGGTTCCCTTATAAAAGGGAACCCAGAGCCCTAGCCTCATGTCTCTTCCCTCTCTCATCTCACGATCTTAAACCCTAGCGACGGTGGCGAAGTTTTTTTTTCTCTGCCCTCTTTTCTCCAGCGTTCAATCAGTGAAGTTTGAGGGGGGTATTTAAGAAGAGGAATTAAAAGAAGAGAGAATTAAAAGGGGTTTATTTGAGAGAGAGGATTAACATTGTAGCTACAATGTTGTATTTATTGAGAGTTATCAATTTAAGATCTGCTCTAAGTTTTGTAATTTTTTATTGATTAATAAGAAATTTACTGTATGGCTCCCAAGGATGTAGGTAGTTACCGAACCTCGTTAAATCTTGGTGTACTTTTCTCTATTACGTTTCTGTTGTTTTAGGGGTTTCAGCGTAAATTCATAACAACTTGTATCAGATACTGAAACGATTTAGAGACAGTCAGATTTAAGTGGGAGCAATGGTCGCAGATGAAGGAAATGTAAGATTAGAGAAGTTTGATGGATCAGATTTCGGATTCTGAAAAATACAAATAGAGGATTATTTGTATTAAAAATATTTGTATCAACCTCTCTCAGGGAAGAAGCCGGAGGGTATGAAGGAGGAAGATTGGAATCTTCTAGACAGAAAGGCCCTCGGGGTTATTCGTTTGACGTTAACCCGTAATGTTGATTTTAACATTGCAAAGGAGAAGACCACGACGGGTCTTATGGCAGTACTCTCAAATATGTATGAGAAGACATCAGCCTCAAATAAAGTCCATTTGATGAGACGGTTGTTCAATCTGTGAATGGCGGAAGGTGCATCGGTAGCAAATCATCTCAATGAACTCAATACAGTTACAAACCCAATTGAGTTCAGATGATATTGAGTTTGATGAGGAAGTTCGAATGTTGATCTTTTTGTCTTCCCTATCAGAGAGTTGGAATGCTACAATCACAGCTGTGAGTAGCTCGTTGGGAAGCAATAAGTTAAAATTTGACGACGTTCGTGATCTGGTTCTCAGTGAGGAGATCCGACGGAGAGAGTCGGATGAAGCTACAACTTCTTCAATATTGCATACAGAATCAAAATATAGAAATTCAACCAGAGGAAATGGATTAGAGGACAGGAGGTCCAAATCCAAAAATCCTAACAGCTCGAAGGCTATTGAGTATTGGAAGTACGGAAAAATCGAGTACTACAAGAATCAGTGCAAGAGTGCACAGAAGGAGTTGGAGGCAAAGGCAGATGCAAATGTTGCTTCCACCTCAGGAGGAGATGATGCATTGATATGCTCTTTGGAGAGCAAGGAGGAGTCTTGGATGTTGGACTCTGGAGCATCATTTCATGCTACTTCTCAGAAAGAATTCCTCGAGAAGTATATCTCCGAAAACCTTAGAAATATATACCTTGGTGATGATCAACCATGTGTCATTATTAGCAAAGGTGTAGTGAAGATTAAGTTAAATGGGTTAGTATGGAAGCTGAAGGATGTCAGGCATATTCCCGACCAGAAAAGAAACTTAATCTCAGTAAGCCAGCAGACTAGTGAAGGCTATACTACAACTTTTCATGGTGATGATTACAGGATTTCAAAAGGCGCAATGACGATTGTCAGAGACAGGAAGACTGATACCCTATATATGACAGCAGGTGCACGTTGTTTGATCTCAGTTACTACAAGCAATGAGACTTTAAAGCTGTGGCACCAGAGACTCAGTCATATGAGTGAAAAGGGGATGAAGATTATGCACACAAAGAGAAAACTTTCAGGTTTATAATCAATAAATATTGATATGTGTGAAGAATGCATACTTGGAAAGCAGAAGAGAGTTAGTTTTCAGACAAGTAGCTGAACCCCAAAGAAGTAGAAGTTGAGCTCGTTCACTCAGATATTTGGGGACCAACCACCACCGCGTTTATTGATGGAAAATACTACTTCGTGACTTTTATCGATGATCACTCTCGGAAAGTGTGGGTCTACTTTCTGAAGCACAAGTCAGAATTGTTTGAAGCTTTCAGGAGATGGAAAGCTATGGTCGAGAATGAGACCGGTCTGAGAATAAGAAAACTCAGAACAAACAATGATGGTGAGTATGAAGACACCAGATTCAAAAAGTTCTGCTATGAACACGGGATCAGAATGGAGAGAACCGTGTCCAGCACGTCTCAGCACAATGGTGTACCTGAGCGGATGAAAGAACGTTAACAGAGAGAGCCAGAAACATCCGTATACAGTTAGGTTTACCGAAGCAGTTCTGGGCAGAATCAATCAACACAACAGCTTGATCACAAGGTCTATCGGTTTCATTGGAGCACAGAATACCAGAAGTGGTATGACGCGAAAACGAGGTAACCCTCTCACATCTCAAAATTTTTAGTTGTGTACGTTATGTGCATATTAGTGATTAATGCAGGAATAAGCTTGATCCCAAGTCAAAGAAGTGTACTTTCATCGGTTATGGTGAAGATGAGTTCGACTACCGCATTTGGGACAACGAAAACAAGAAGGTGATCAAGAGTAGAGATGTGATATTCAACGAGAAAGTGATGTATAAGGACATGCACAAGACAGATGCCAGTGACTCAGAGAGCGAGTCAATATTTATAAATGCAGATGATGTCCCAGATAACCTCTCGGAAGAACCCAATGCAGAAGGTCCTCAGCCGGAAGAGCCTGTTGGACAGAACGGTGCGTAGAAGCCCGACACACCAGCTCCGATATTAAGGAGAACTACTCGTCCTCCTGTGCCTAACAGTAGATACATGAATTATATGTTGCTAACAAATGGAGGGAAGTCTGAAAGCTTTGATGAACCTTGTCAGAATGGAGATGCGAGCAAGTGAGAGTTTGCTATGAAAGAAGAGATGAAATATCTGATCTTCAACCAGACATGGGAACTAACTGAGTTGCCCATGGGGAAGAAGGCACATCACAACCAGTGGATATATCGAGTGAAAAAGGAACATGATGGTTCTAGAAGATACAGAGCCCGATAAGTTGCCAAAAGATTTCAACAGAGGATCCAAGGAAGTTAGAATCCAGCGGATATGTTGACAAAGACAGTGACCTTTCAGAAACTGAAGTTGTGCGCAATTTCAGTTGGTCTTCATGCATAGGTATTGAGGGCGGAGCCACACAGAAGAAAGTGCTTGTTGAGATAGCCTGCTGACGACGGTTTGGTTTCCAAAGGGAAGATTGTTGGATCTGGGTGTGTAGCCCAAACTCACCTACAGGCGAGCTTTTCCAGACGAGAACGAAGCTCAGGCGAGGGTGAGCTCTAGTCGGCGAGCTCGAGATCTCGAGAGCTGTAGGTGAGCTCGACGAGGTTAGGCGAGCTCAAAGTTGTAGCAGGTAAGCTCGAGACGTGGTCCAGGCGAGCTCGAGCTGGTGGAGCGCGAGCAAACTCGACGCAGGCGAGGGCTGACGACGCAGGCAAACTCGAGGTCGGAGCTTCAGATCAGGCGAGCTCGGGGTTAACATCAGGCGAGGTCCATGCGTTTTGCAGGCGAGCTTGAGTCGAGCTCCTTCAGGCGAAGTTGAGACGGACGAGAGCTATGCAGGCGAGGTTAGAGGCGCCCGCAGGCGAGGTTGGGGCCTGTCGCCAGTCTGGCGTTAGGGTTCCCTTATAAAAGGGAACCCAGAGCCCTAGCCCCCTGCGCTTCTTCCATCTCTCTCTCTCTCCTCTCGCGATCTTAATCCCTAGCAGCGACGGTAAAGTTTTTTTTCTCTGCCCTCTTTTCGCCAACGCTCAATCAGTGAAGTTTGAGGGGGGAATTTAAGAAGAGGAATTAAAAGAAAAGAGAATTAAAAAGGGTTTATTTGAGAGAGAGGATTAACAATTAACACTGTAGCTACAGTGTTGTATTTATTGAGAGATCTCAGTTTGAGATCTGCTCTAAGTTTTGTAATTTTTTGTTGATTAATAAAAAATTTACTGTGTGGCTCCCAAGGACTTAGGCAGTTGTCGAACCTCGTTAAATCTTGGTATATTTTTCTCTACTGCGTTTCAGCTGTTTTAGGGGTTCCGGTGTAAATTCCTAACAGTAGTAACATAGCCTCTATTCGCAAACTTCTTCAGCAAGTCAAATGTGAATCATCATCATGAATAGAGTCTCATTCACCAATTGAACATATTTCACCATGTAGTGTTCTGATCCAATCAACTTTTGATCAGAACCATGATAGCCATGTTTCTTCCAACCATCCTCAATTAGATTGATGAACTTTGATCACATCCGTTCATTCCCTCCCATGAGCACTTGATCAGATTTCATGCTTGGGAGAGAGCGAGGCCTTGTGCAATTGTACTTAATGTTACCTCATTGACAATGAGAAAGATAGGGTTGCTTCATATTGGTAAGCTACCACACATAATATTTTACCTTCTCAAATTATACGAGATATATCTTTTGTTAGAAGTTTGGCCCATATATCTTTTGTTAGAAGTTTGGCCCAAGCCAACATATGAGTACATTTCATGCACATACTGTCGATTATATATATCATAGCGAGTTTGAGTTCGTGAAATTTCGTTCCTACCAGAACCTGAAGTAATATGAACGAGCTTGAAGGAGATTGAATAAAGTGATTGTATGTGATTATTGTTGTGTTCACAGTTTGAGGTTGCCTCCAGTATAGTGAGAGGATTATCAGGCGTCCAGGGAATGTGGAAATTATAGACTCAGACCCAATGAGTGGATCTTGTGATGTTCAAGCAGCATGTATACATGAAGTCAAATCAGATTTTATGCAGGTTCATATACTCACAGGAGCTGGAGTGAGGTTTCCATGCTAATTATTTTGGACAATATATCACACTTACCGATATGAAAACATATCACTGAAGGGTCTCTTGATTCTTCAGTTCAGTTAATACACTATAAAAGCAAAGATATCCTTGGAGACTGAAATCTCATATAATGGTTAAAGTTATTCAAAATTAAATGTTGTGTGTAGTCAAGCCAAATCACATTTCATAGAGGCATATATCATTTGTTCTGTGTGTGTAATATATGGCTCTATATCCTGATTTAACTAGTAGAGTACGAAAAACTTCATCTACACATTGAGTCATTGGTACTTGATTTGGTAATCTGAAACATTATTTATTCGTTACTATTCCAATGTTTTACCGCTATAATCATCAGATAATGAATGTAGTTTCGTTTGTTTTTTGTGCACAGTGTTCCAGTGGCTAGGAATTAACACATTTACGGTGGGTGCGGGGTCTGCCATCTTGATATGTGGCTCTTATCTTGTAAGTACTTTCTCCTGTTTATAATGTATTTTGTAATGTTCTTACTCAATAGCAATAGTTGGGGCTTCAGATACTATCTGAACAAAGACAAATGCTAGCCGCAGTCGTTTTGAGCAACTGCCCTACACCACTTGTGTTGCAATTGGCACTGGTGTCCAAGGTCAAGCGTGAAAAATGGCAGGGCTGTCTATTAGGGGTTTTCCCCATGTTTGTCACCAACCTTTTATATTTTGAAATTACTACCTCAAATCATGATATTTCGAAATTAATCCCACAAAATTTCTCTTATATTTTGTAAGCTATACTAAGAAGGACTAATTTTCAAATATTTAAATGTTTGGTGACTAACTTCAAATTATAAAGAATTGGGGACTAATTTTAAATTATGAAATACTCTGGGAACTAAATTGAAAAAAAATCCTTTTTAAACATTATGGAATGATCAAGGGTAAATTCCACTTAACAGTTAAAACCCATGAACTTTAGGGTGTCTGCTTAACGCCCTAAACTTTAAATTTTTGACAATGTACCTCTTTATGGCATTGGAAACATGAAAAAGAGCGATTTTAATAAACTTTGCGCGTTTCTAATAAACTTAGGCATTTTCATTCATGGGGTTAAAGCGGAATAAAAAAAGTTTAGGAGGTTTTGTCTAAAACCTAGAAAACTTGGGGTTTAAAATATACCCTCGATCATTCCCTAATGTTTAATTTAGCTAAGACAACAAAAGTAAATGAATAAATAGAAGAGTTTCTTTTCTCACATTAGTTCCTAGAATCTTTCATATTTTGAATCTCGTCCCCCAATCCAAATCTTTATATTTTGAAGTTATAGTAGTCACCAAACCTTTCAAATATTTCGAAATTAGTCCTACTTAGCAGCTAGTTGATAGATTTTGGGGACTAATTCCAAAACACTTAAAAGAATGGGGACTGGTATCAATTAATTTTTGTTGGACTAATTTCGAAATATCATCATTTGGGGGAGTAATTTCAAAGTAAAAAAGATTTGGTGGACAAATATGGGAAAAACCCTGATTTAATTGTATCTTTGCTAGCTGTAGACAGCCTTGCGCGTGACCTTGGGCACGTATGCCAATTGCAACTCGAGTGGTATAGGACAGTCCCTCAGATCGTCTGTGGCTAGCATTTCTCCTGAACAAATATCTGTTTTTTTATCCATTTGCTTTCGCAGTTATTTGCATTAACAGTATTTTTCCCGTTTTCAAGTTGCATAAAGGCCACTTATTGATAGGGAAGGAGGAAAACAGTGAATAAGAAACAAAAATAAAAAGAAAAAAGTTTCAGTTTCACGCTGTTATTAATGGTCAATGACTTCACCTCAATTAAAATCTTCAACAGTCAACTAGAGTTTCACACCCTAGTTTTGCATCGTATACTATAGATATCATAGTCATAATTTTTTACTGTCATCTTCATACTTTCATTGAAGAAAAAGTAGTTTTTTGTAGGCTTACCAAAGTCGATTACCGAGAAACAAATCTCTCATGATGAAGAAATCTATCCTTACTAGAATTAAACTTTCCTAATGTATTCGATTCTCAGAAGCTTCTCTTATCAATTAAAAAATTATCTTTTCTTCAATCGTGAAACCAGTGAATATCCAGATACTTAAGAGGCTGCCGAGGAACATATTTTCTTCAAACCTGATGAGAAGGGGGAAAAAATCTTTTGACAGTTATAGGGATGATTGCTGTGCACTTATATATTTCTTCTTGGCATAACAGAACTTTCTAGCTTGTAAGCTTCCCATGCCTTTTCAATGTAACATTGGAAAAGATGGGTCAAATACGCGTCATTTCTCTAATTTTCACACTTTCTGTTGCCTTTGTAACAGTCATGGCTCCGAGTATCACAGCAGCTTCACACAATCAGTCAAGTTGTAGTTGGTGCAGGCTTAGGCTCAGCATTTAGCATCACATGGTTTTGGTTGTGGCATTCGTTTGTGCTCAAAGCATTCATTGCCTCCATTTGGGTTCGAATTATTGTAGTCCTTGGATCAATAGCATTTTGTGGCGCCTTCGCTCTCTATGTGATCAAGCATTGGCTCAATGATGAACAGTAAACGAGTCTTGACACTCTATGTGATCAAATATAGTTATGTTTCCCTTTGAAGAATTCATGGGGCATAGAGGCTGTGGCGAAGATAGTACCTGGTTCATGTACAAATGAGTCTTCTAGTTAAAGTCTCGATGTGTTGGATAAGCAAACTATGAAAATGATGGCTGTCATGGCTATATAGATAACTTCTGCTTTATACGTCAATTTGCAACATATTGGAGATTAGATTCCACAGAAATTAAGGATAGTTTTGAAATAAGAATTTTTAATGTTGTAGCTTCATTGGGTTGTTGATTACCGGTACTTTTTTGATTCAGATGTAATGAACAAAAGCTTGTCATTTCAGATTTTGATGATCTCAATTCTACTTGAGGTCTTATTTGGACTTTTGATCTTCTTTCCTTGTGATGAATTAGTACGCGTTTTTACACGAAACCACCTTAACATTTGTCCAAATTGACACTTGCAATCTTTCTTTTTATTTTTGATCAAAACCATCATTACTTGCTGTTATGTTAGCAATGTCACACTAAATCTGTTTTTCAGCTAAAAACAAGACATGAACTTTCGAAAATACTTTAACCCCAACACGTGCAAAATACGTCTCCCAAATAAAAATTAAACTTTTTTTTAATAATGGTCCCCCATTCTTTCATATTTTGATATTAACCCCCAATATCTATCACATTTTGAAATTAGTTCCCCAAATAGATGTCTTCGGGGAGGTCAAGTTCGCTGATATTTTGATCCTTAGGTAGGATTTTGAGGGGTTTTTTTTTTCTTGGAGGGGAAGGCCGGAGGGAGTGAAGATTAAGTGGAGGTAAGGTTAGGGTTTGGGGAAGGATTGAGGGAGGGTTTTCTCGGATTGGAGGGTGGGAGGATTGATGGGAGGTAATGTTAGGGTTTGGGGATTGGAAATTAGGATTTGAGGATTGTGTTAGGGTTTGGAGATTTGGGTGTAGAAATGCATGGCTATTGGGCGGGGGTTGGCCCGGGAGATTTTGAGGGTCTAATGTGAAAGATTTGGAGGACTAATATCTAAAAAAACTCATAAGTTTATAATTATTTAGGACCCACGTGCTTTTTTTTTTTGTCGAAAAATTAATTTGGTGTGAATTGCAAACATAACAGCAAGTAAATATAGTTTTTTATCAAAAATAAAAAAAGAAAAGTGATAAGTATCAATTTGGACAAAGGTTAAAGTGGTTTTTATGTAAAAGCCCAATTAATAATTCTTGGTTTTTGGTATTATATTTTGTTTTTGAATTATCACACTCTGAAAAGGAAGGACAGACACCTACTTCTTTCTTTTTTTTTACTTATCTCATTTTGCTGTGTTTATTTACTTGGCAGTTCTATATCTTCTTTTCATTTTTCATTCTTTTATTTTATTTTACCCATTTGGATCTAAATTATGATCCATAGAGAGAAGTACAAGAAAGCGAGGAATGGATTGTATATTTTGCTCATACTGGTTTTTTTCTTTTTTTTTAAAAGAAAAATGGTAGTGTTATTAAATTTTGATACATTACAGATTGGCGGGACTTACTTTACTACATTATTGCTTGACGCTTTTTCATTAAACAAGTTTCAGTGAAATATTCCTAGTATTAATACCGGTAACGAAATCAAAATGATCGACCAACTTCTCATACCGTTAACCAGTAATTAGTAGCTTGCTATAATCAGTAATTGGCTATCACATTGCAATCAGCATAAATTAGGACAAATTTTCAAAACCAACCTATTTACAAATTTAATCATAGAAAACAACCCACTTCAGATTTAATTGCAAAAACCGACCTGGTTTCAGCCTTGGCGCTGAAACCAGGTCGGTTTTTGTGAAAAAACTTTCGAAACTTCACGGGAGTTGAACTCCCGTGAAGTTTCCCAGTACAAAAAAAAAAAATTTGAACTACGAAACTTCACGGGAGTTCAACTCCCGTGAAGTTTCGGATAAAAATTTTCAAAAACCGACCTGGTTTCAGCTCCAGGGCTGAAACCAGGTCGGTTTTTGCAATTAAATCTGAAATAGGTTGTTTTCTGCTATTAAATTTGTAAATAGGTTGGTTTTGAAAATTTGTCCGCATAAATTAATGAAACTTACCTGTATGAGAAATTACAAACCACGTAATGAATGATTTCTAAACTGGTAATGCTAATTTTTTGACTTGCCTCCTGCATCACATCCTTTTATTTCAATTTGTTTCCTTATGAAAGGTAATTGTCTGCTGTATTATGTGCAGAATTAGCTAGAATTGTGTAGACTGTAAGCTGCTGATTCGCTATAGCTCTTTCTGCTTGGAAACTTTCCAAGACAAAGGAAAAATTAAGCAAACACACCATATGTATGGCTGATTTCATAATGTCTTTCCTCCCTCACTTTATGTGATACGTATTATGAACCATAAATAATTGTGTGTCCCTCAAGAAATTCCTTAAAAAAAAAATTGTGTGAAGAAAAGCATTTTCCTTCTTCTCTGTATGCACACGTTTTTTTTTTTTTTAGTTTATAGGATTTTGCTTATTTTCTTACTTAAAGACCAGGTTATTTGCCGTGTACATATCCAAGATATGTACTATTAAATTTAGGACAACCCTATTAAAATTTTATTTGTAAAAATCAACCCATTTGTAAATTGTTCACCATTTTCGACCTGGTTGGCTAAAACTAGGTCAAAATGGTGAATAAAGCTTCACGAAATTTCAAATCCCGTAAAGTTTAGTGCCTAGTTACCCAACCTAATCGAAATGCAGCAAGCACGCTGTAGAAGCCACTTCACGGGATCTGAAATCCTATGAAGTTGAGTTTTATGGGATTTCAAATCCCGTGAAGATGCAGATTACAGCTCACAGAGAGCTCGAAGTGAGCTCTCTATGAATTTGGCCTACAACTTCACGGGATTTCAAATCCCGTGAAGTTGCAGGTCATGCACAAACATGCATACACAGTGCACGTTCCGGCTAATTCAAAACCTATTGAATATAGTGAATTTTCCGCCTTATTCACAACAATATACATGAAAATCCAACCATAAACATTAAATTTGCCACATATGTACTGAACTACAATAATATACATAAAAATTCAACCATAAATCACAACAATACACACAAAAATCACATATATAAAAAAAATCGATCCACACAAGCAAGAAATTAGAACAATCTAACCATAAGTATTCTTGAGATTCCTAATCAAAATGTAAATTTCACATACATCCTAAAAGACCTCCCTTCCTCTCCCTCTCTTACCCCTTCCCCTCATTCATCCCCCCGTCCCCGCCCCTACCCCCACTGTCCATGCTCATCAGTCTCGACGATCTAAGTATCTGGTTGTGTATGAGGCTCTGTATAGGCTCCATCATCATGCATCGCACTATGAGAAGTGCCAGCTCCATCATCACATGCCTCCCTTTGACCCGTCCTACGTTTTCACGCGTACACTTTACCAAATTGGTGTGTTCTCACTATTGGATCATGAATCTCAGTAATATGCTCATTTATATCAGCCTCAATCTCATCAAACGCATGGATCTATAATTTAATCAATACATATAGCTTTGCAAATAATATTATTACAAAAAATTGCCAATTTAAATTTAGTTTAAAAAACTTACATAATCTTTCTCGATCATGGCACTAGGCATGTAACTATCTGTCCATGGCTGTGGTACACATCTAGCCGCGGGTTATGGGTCGCGTCCTTTCCATCTATGTGTGATATTCCAATACCAACGCATATACGTGGTATAACCAATTATTGGTTTTCTCTCATTCTGTATGAAATTCCACCTATTATTTCATCTGTCTATGTAGACCACACGGAATATGACTGAGTCCGTATAATGTGATGTCATCCGTCACCTGCGATCGATTTGCTCAACAGGATCTAGCACATACTGAGAAAGAAGAAATTGTCGTAGCACACGATCTGGGGCATGCATCTCTACAGTCTCCCAACATATCAACGAGACTCTGGCTCTCCACAAAGCAGAACTATCTCTACAAATAGGTGCAAGGGTATATATATCGAGATTTGGCAGAGAATAAGGCGTCCACTTGAACTAAAATTTAAAAAAACTTATATCATCATCCACAAAACAATTAAAATATAAATAATGAATTGAGTTATATATTACATGTTGGTGTTGCAGGCCATCAAGCTCATTTCTGTAAAACTCTATATGTTTGGTCGCGGTTTTGTATTTTGAGTGTCTCACATTATATCTATTCAGTGTAAAGAATATATGAGAACAAATTCAATATGAATAGAATTATGCAATAAAAATAATTTTAAATTCATGCATAATTATACATGCATCCTAAAGGAAATTGACCTTGTAGATCGTGGTGCATCTGCAAATTAAGTCGTCCAATATGATTGCGTTCCCACGACCAAACTTGTAGTAGTGTTATGCATTCCCGTGCCTTTTATTTACCATACAAGTAGGTATCGTTAATGCTAAGAATAGGACGACAAGATTTGAATCCCTTGATGCAAAGCCCAAATGTTCAAAATACCCCCGTGAATTGTCTATCTTCACCGTCAACGGGATCCGATGATACTTCGTGCACTGTCCCCGGATTTTCCTTTTTGAGTGCTTCAAGATAATGTGGTAAGATCTCATAAGATTTGTCCTAATCTCTGAATATTTTTATCATCACCTTCCTTCACGTATTCCAACACTTGTTGTATGATACATCCAGGGTGGTCCTTTCATGTAATAAAATAGGAATATCCTTTGGCCTTAGATCGAGATCCTCCCTTAGTTTAGGCATAATCAATTGATATATGAACAAGGCGTACGCATATTTATGATTCATCTCTAATCGAGGATTGCTACATGTGTGAAGTCCGTTATAGTGTGTTATTTTAAATTGCCCCCTACTCTTACCTCCAAGCGTGAATTAAGCTTCTAAGGACACTTTGTATTTCCTTCATGGTGACCACCAACATCTTCTTCCTCACAATCTTTGTAGTAAAAACAAACTACATTATAGCTTGTTGTGTTGCTTTTTGTCTGTCTAAACTTGACATTTTTTATGGCCCACAAACGAAGCGCGTGAAGCAATATCTTCTTGCTTTCAAATAGATCACCCTTTCTGAATGAGAAGTCATCGCCTTGTGTATCGTCATTTAAATTAGTGCCAATAAGAATATTTTTCATTATGGAGTCATTAATCCATCGATCTCCATAAAGTTCATCGGGTGGCGGATCCTCTAATACGACATACTCATTTTTAGAATAGCATCGGTCAATTACTTGGTTGTTCCCTTCATCAAGATCTATCAAACACGTCATGTTATTAATTTGTAAGCCATCCTCTTCATCATCATCCTCAGATTCCATACTTGCATGCTCATCTTCTATTGTCACTCCT